TAAGAAATTATAGATCGCTAAGATCGCTAAGAAATTAGAGAAATCATAGAAATCATAGAAATTAGAGAAAGTTGAGACCCATGATCGATGGGATCATCATTCGCTAATTATAATTGGCGCAGTACTAATGCATCATAACTAGATTATTACTAACAATATCAAATAAGGATCTTCAAATAGAAGTGTTAACGACGCATAAATCATACGCATACGAAATCTAATGAGCAGAAATTATAATGAAAAGTTAGAATTCTTGGAAGATTCGGTCATATCCTTTGTAATATAAAGTTATTTGTATAAAAAATGAAAGATGAAGGAGAACTTACAATGATGAAAGCAAAGTTGGTTTACAAACAAACTTTGGCAGATTTTGCGTTAGGTTTAAAATTAGAAACGAAGCTGAAATTAGGCAAAGGTGCTTTAATTACCAAGCAAGAAATAATGAAAAGACTTTATAAGACACTTTTGAAGCTTATATAGTGCCCTTTTTTTTGGATTTAGACCAAAATTTTCTAGAATTAATTGAATTTATGAAATCTTTATTAGAATAGGAAAAAAATAATGCATAGGAAAATAATAATCATACTTCTAAACCTATAATCAGATGTATCTCTTATGACTTTACTTATCCCTTGTAGTTCCAACTTGGTTTCAGAGAAAACTTTTGGTTTACCTAAATATATTTTATTGAAAATAAAGAAGTTGAAAATAAGAATATTCAACCTCGGTTTACATTTGAAATTGTCATTAATAAAAAGACTTGTCCTCAAGGGACGAAAAATAAATCAGAGACTAAAAAATTAGATTAGCTGCCATCTACGTCCTAAATGAAATTAATAACTTTGGTTAAATAAGGTAAAGATGAATGAGGCCTGTTTTTTTTATATGAAATGAAATAAACTTATCATTTTTGATAATTTACAAACTTTTTTTTTTAGTTATTAATAAAGAAACAATTGTGAGGTTAGGCAATATTCTGGACTAATATTATTTTATTATGACATTAATAAAAAGATTTATTAACAAATTTTTTTTAAAATTTTATAGATGTTGGGATCCTATGATTTTACAAAACATTTCAAAATTAATAATCTACTTACATTTATGTTCTAAACCATAAATATCAAGTTTACTATTTTTTTTAAAAAAAATTCTGAACAAAATATTTCTGCATAGTTTTTTTTAATTTAATATAATTATGTTTTTCGCAAAGTGTCTAACACTCATTGTTTGTAATTTTCCTATAATACATGAAGAGGTTTTATGACCCACAAAGTTTCTGTATTGCGTAATTTGTCCAAAATTTTAAATAAATTCCTTTAGAATAAGCTTAATAAGGATATTTCAATCAAATTACGAGTTATCTCTTAATATCAATTACAATTTGCATTATATAATTCTAAATTGAGTTACCTCAAAATAAAAATAAAATAAATATAAACTAAAACGGGTAGATCATATTCCGTTACTACGCCTAATGAATATACAGTATTTTGTTTATTATGTGTTATAAAGGCTTTATTAATCTCAATATAGGCTGGATCATTAAAGTTTTATGTTATGGCAGGCCTGTATATTAATTAATTCCTAAGGATTGTTTCCTGATGACAGGGGTGGTTATCATTAATTAAAAACTACTCGATATTTTCTGATTCGATTCAATATTGTTTAGCACTAAAATTTTTTTTACAGAGAATAATGGGTTATGATCCAAGAATATCAGGTTCTGAGAATTTTTTAACTAAAGTTAATATTTTATTAAATATTGTAATAAAAATTAAAATGCAACTAAAATCTCAATTTTGATAAAAATTCTCAGAACTTAATTTTCTTAGATCACAACATAAATGTATAAAATCATCCAAGTCTGTCTTGTCTTCAAAAAAAAATGGTTCTGTACATAATTTGGATTCGAAAAGTAAAAAAAAAAAGAGTGTAAGTAATTACATGCATAACTATGGATGGATATTTACAACTGAACGTTATCAAATATTTTCAAAACAAATTTGACTGGTGGAAATCACGACTTTGATAAGTTTATTTATAATTCAGAATATATTTTAAATAATTATCAAATGAACAACAACCTTTATTAGGTTCTTTAAAATTATAATCAAAACATAGACCCTATCACAGTAGAAAGTTTCAACAATTTTTATTTATAACCAAATTTGTCGAATTTAATAAAGAAATAAAAACAAAAAAGGCCACAAATCAGGAAAACAATTTTTTGATTGATGCAACATGATTGCACTTCAAAATCCTTGCCTATTCCTTCTGAAGTAATTCAATTAAAATAATGAGGTAGAATTTTATAGTATTTCTGTAAAAAAAAAATTAAAAAAATAGACAATAAAAAATATATGATATTTATTTAAGAAATTTTATGAAATTAATTTTTCTTATTTTCGTTTGCTAATATCAAAATTAACAAAGAGAATAAGGTCACGATTTAATGTAAATAACTTCTTCTTCAGCTTCGAGTTGTCTATTCTGCATTACACAATTTTTCTGTTAAATCTAAGTCATAAATCTAATAATTTTAAAGAAAATTATAACCAATTTATAATTAATTATTATTCTTTTAATTCAAGTCTTCATCTTGTACATCCTTCATGTTGATTGGTACAAATAATTCTCTTATTTCTTGCAAATAATCGGATAAAAGTTAACTTTTTCTCAGAGTTTTAAATATTTGATTTATAATTCGCCAAAGTTTTAAATTGTCTGATGTTTGATAAACTATTATTGTAATTTTTAATAGAATTTCACTTTTTTATTTTTATTAACGATTACCATTTTTTTGTCAGAATTTACTGAAGCTTTAACAGAGACTTCAGGATCAGCTTGCAATTATATTTATTCGCTTCATATATTTTTTGTTCTCTCGAAAAGTGTCTCTATTTAATGAAGTACAAAAATTTGTATAAAAATGTTACTATAATATTTATATATTTATTCTCAAAGTTTTTTATATTATTTATATTATTTTGAGTGATTATATTTTTGTAGTACCATATAAAGGTAATATGATAACTTGGTTAGTAATCATATTATCTTTCTCATATAAAAAGAAATCAGAAATATTTCTACAAAAATACAAAAATAAGCACCTATATATCAATATGACGCAGTTATATCTTTTGCACTACCTCACACAATACATGATTGTCATAATTGTTAATGAATAAATTCATCACATGCTTGCACAGCAAAATATGAAATAAAAGGGAATTCGTTTTATATGAAGCGTTAATAGCACAATAATATATTAATCAAACTTTATTTATGTAACGTGAATTTTCATTCATCGATTAGGCACGGCATATAGAAGAAATAGCTGTAATGTCAGATACTATTTATAATAGAATAGAAGAAAGGGACAGAACGGCATTGCATTTAATATGTCTAGTAATATAATGCCTTTTGGATAATAGCAATATGAATGAATGCGAAGTATTATTGCATTGTATGACAAAAAATAAGTAAAAATAAATAAGTGAATTTTTTCAGAATTCTTAATAAATTCGTTAATTATCAGATACAACTGCAGAATTCATTTATGAAAACAAAACAAACAAAACAAAATATAAATTTTTTTATTGAAAATATACTAAATTTATTAAATAAAAGTTGTCTCAGTTATGTATATAAACTTGTTTAAAATGAAGAAACTTAAAGTAATAATAAATAAATTATACTTCATAATTTGTTACTAATATAAATGAATAAATTTTAAAATTAGTAATTTATGAGATCAAAATTTAAATAGGAAAACTTACTAGATAAATTCTCAAAAGTATCTAACTGAATAGAATCGCCAATTTTTGAATCAGGATCAGAATTATTATTCTCTGTATCTTTTTAAAGTTTATAAATTTGAAAAAAATAAAAAATAAGCAAAATAATATAAATATAAAAACTTTAAAATGAAAATTTACCTTTTGTTGTTTCATCATCGCCAATAATTTTTCCAAAGCCCATCTTATAAAATATTTTTAATACTTCTTTAATAATTGGTCTTTGCTTTGGTTCTTGTTTCCAGCATTTTTTATATAATTTTTCGTAATCCTCAGGTGTATCCGCTATAGAAATTTCACGAGTTTTATGACAAGTAATAGCAATAATAAGATCCTGATTATTATTAAATTTATCTTCAAAAGGAGGATGTCCACTAGAAATTTCCCACATTAATATACCAAAACTATAAATATCTGAAGCTTTAATATATTCAAAGTTTTGATCGGCAAGTATTTGTGGTTCTATATAAGCAGCTTTACCAAAAAGTCCAATATGCATTGTAGAATTATTTTCAACTTTTGAAATACCAAAATCTGTAATTTTAGCATTATTTTCATGAATAACTATATTTTTAGAGTGCTAAATAAAAGAATATCATTAATAATAAATAATATTACATAAAATTGAACAAATGAAATAATAACAAATAAATATTTACAAGATCTCTGTGTAAAACATTTTCATTATGCAAATAATTTAACCCATCCGCAATTTGATAAGCCAATTGTTTTTTATCATTCCAAGTTAAATTTTCAAAATTATTTTTTAGGTAAGTTTGAAGATTACCACCATTTGCATATTCCATTATTGAATAGAATTCACTTGACTTTGGATCTAAAAATAAATTAATATAAATAAAAAAAAACTCTTAAAAAATTAAGCTTATTTAATTAATTACCTTGGCTTATACCTAAAAAACGTATAATTCGATTACTTTGGTTAAGATGCAAGTGTATTTTTAACTCATAAATAAATGCTCTTAATTTATCATTATCATATTTAAATATACTTGTATTAATTAATTTTTTACATATTGTATAATCATTTGTTTTTGACCAAATTGCTTTTAAAATACTTCCAAATCCACCTTTATCAAGTGGTTTTAAATCAATTAAATCATCAAAAGGTATAACTTTAACTTTATTATTCAACTTGTCATTAATCAATTCAAAAATATTGCAATTAACTTCGTTTAATTAAATGTAAATAAATTAGTATAAATTATAACTTATAAAAAAAAATTAATTATTAATACTTTAATATACCTTTAATCTTTTTATTCATAAAATTCATCCTTGAGAATTCAACCAATAATTCTGTAATGGTAGGCCTTTGCTTAGGTTCTTGATCCCAACATTTTTTATATAATTTTTCATAATCCTGAGGAGTATCTGATATAGTAGTTTCACGAGCATTATTATTAATAATAGCAGCATAAATAGTAGTATCATTTAAATCTTTAAATGGAGGATATCCACTAGAAATTTCCCACATTAAAATTCCAAAACTATAAATATCTGAAGGCTTAATATATTGAAAATTATGATTTATAAGTATTTGTGGATCTATATAAGCAGTTTTACCACAAAGTCCAATATGTCTAGTAGAATTATTTCCAATTTTTGAAATACCAAAATCTGTAATCTTAGCATCATTATTATGAATAAGTATATTTTTAGAATGCTAAATAAAATTTTAAAATTTTAAAATAAATTTCTAAAATTTATATTATATAATATATAAATAAATAAAAATAATACTTACAAGATCTCTATGTAAAACAACTTCATTATGTAAATAATTTAATCCATTTGCAATTTGAAATGCTAACTTATTTTTATCATTCCAATTTAAATTATTAAAATTATATTTAAGATAATTTTGTAAATCACCACCATTAGCATATTGTATTATAAGAAGATATTCATTTGATATTAAATCTATAAATAATAAATTAATAAATAATTAGTTTTTTAAAAAATAATAATTAATAGCTATTATTTAGTAATTAAAAATTTACCTAGACTTATATCTAAACAATGTATTATATGATTACAATAATTAAAATATAGATGAATTTTTAATTCATAAATAAAAGCATCTTGATTAATATTATTTGTCTTTATTAATCTTTTAAATACAATAAAATCACTTGTTTTCAACCAAGTTGCTTTTGTAATACTACCAAATCCTCCTTTATCAAGTTGTTCTAAATCAGTAAATTCATTAAAAGATATAAATTTAACTTGATATTTTAAGGATTTATTAATGAATTCAGTTGCAACAATATTTTCATTAATATTTTGATGATTAGTTTCATATTTTCCAAAACTTCTTTTAGATCTATTTTCATTTTTTACTAATCTTTGATGCCATTTATATGCTTTTTCTAAATCTTTATTAATTCCTATTCCATTTATATAACATTTAATTATATTATATTGGGCTTCTTTATTTTTATTTACAGCTGATTTTTGATACCAAAAAAGTGCTTTTTTAAGATCTTCTTTGATTTCAATACTTTTCTCATAAAAATATCCTAATTTGTATTGTGCAATATCATTCTCATTTTTTGCTGATTTTTGATACCAATAAAATGCTTTTTTTAAGTTTTTTCTAATAAATTTTCCTTCTTCATAATAAAATCCTAAATTATATTGAGCAAATTCATTTTCGTTTTCTGCTGATTTTTTATACCATTTAAATGCTTCAATCATATTTTTATCAACACCTAAGCCATATCGATAACAAATTACTAAATTGCATTGAGCAATATGATTTTCATTTTTTGCTGATTTTTGATACCAATAAAATGCTTTTTTTAAGTTTTTTTCAATTTCTATAGCTTTTTCATAAAAATATCCTAAATCATTTTGTGCATAACTATTATTTTGACCAGCTGATTTTTTATACCATTCAAATGCTTTATTAAAATCTTTTTTAATACCTTTTCCATAATAATAATAATCACCTAAATTATATTGTGCTGTAGCATTATTTTGATCAGCTGATTTTTGATACCAATAAAATGCTATTTTTAAATCCTTATCAATTCCCCATCCTTTTTGATAACACATAGCTAAATTATATTGTGCATCACTATCATTTTGATCAGCTGATTTTTGGTACCAATAAAATGTCATTTTTAAATCCTTTTCAATTTCCCATCCATTTTGATAACATATAGCTAAATTATATTGTGCATCACTATCATTTTGATCAGCTGATTTTTGATATCAATAAAATGCCATTTTTAAATCCTTTTCAATTTCCCATCCATTTTCATAAAAATATCCTAACTTAAATTGTGCATTACTATTATTTTGATCAGCTGATTTTTGATACCAATAAAATGCTATTTTTAAATTCTTTTCAATTTCCCATCCATTTTTATAACAATTTGCTAAATTGTATTGTGCAACATGATATCCATTTTTTGCTGATTGTTGATACCAATAAAATGCTTTTTTAAAATCCATTTCAATACCATTGCCATTTTTATAAAAAGTTGCTAAATTGTATTGTGCAGTAGCATTATTTTGGTCAGCTGATTTTTGATACCAATCGAATGCCTTTTCTGAATTCTTTTCAATTCCCCATCCATTTTGGTAACGTTTAGCTAAATCATATTGTGCGACATCATTTTCTGTTATTAATTAAATAATAATTTAATTTGGCTTAATTATGTAAAACATGCAGATATTGTTCTAATATAGTAACTAACCATCTGTTGAATTGGTTAATTGTTAAACAAATTTAGAAATTTATTTTAATTTATAAAAAATTACAGTTGAGGAATGAATAATTAATAAAATTAGATTATTGTGAATTATTGAAGAAACTACATAATAACTTACAAATCGAGATATATAATTAAAAAATAACTTACCATCTGTAATATCGACTTGATAAAGATTAATAAAAATCAATTCAATGTAATAATAATTAAATATTAATTTTCACCAGCGGTTATATCACCCGCAGTGATAATAAAAAAAAATAACTTACGCACTGCAAAGAAAATTTTTTTGAGTTTTATTTCACATGCATGTAATTAATATAAAAGTATACTGAACAACCAGCTTACAATATTCACTTTCCATGGTAATTTTATGCGGATTGCAAGAAAAAAAAATATTTCAAGTAACCAATTTTCCTATTATTATTGATTATGCATGCACCTCAGCCATAGATTCCGATTTACATTATGGTATGCTTACATAAGCGAGATCATGAGATTAGATTGTTCGAAATGTTCCGGATTTGGAAAAGATCATTAACTCAAGTTGTTTTAATTTCTTTTTTACTTTTTATGTTTATAAATATTTATCCTTCCTTTAATTATACAACAAATTCAGAAAATAACAATAAAGTAATATCAAGCTAAAAAGTATCGGTTTAACAATTTATTTGACAAATGGACGGAATAAGGGCGTTCTCGATCACCTTTGAGGTGATGCTCAAGCTTTACGATCAAATTGTAATAATTGGAATGGAGATCATTGCTTGATCAACCTATTTTATCTTTCTATCAATTTCATTTCATTATGAATAAAAAAAAAAAAAATACCAAAATTAGTTCGCACCGGCTCTTTTTACTAATTTAACAAGTAATTTATCATTCATTGTAACAACAACAATAATATCCTACTACACTATTATTTGTCATTTGAGTAATTGAATTCATTCGTCATTTTGTCATTTTCCATATTTTGTCATTCCTACTAAATTGTCGAAACATTTAATACATAGAATCTTTGTAATAATAAACGGTTTCTAATTATATTTATTAATAAAATTAGAAAATGATTATTAAAATATTAGCAATTTCTAAATAAATATAAAATTCACGTAAATTATCGTAACTTATTTTTTAAAATATTACTAATTTAATTAGATTTTAATGAACGCATTAGTATTTTTGATGTCGTTACAAATTAAAAAAAAGTATCAAGTATAAATAAATAAGATTTTTCATATTTCAAAAAAACTTCATTCATTCGTTTATTATTTTGTTTTCATTTTACTGAAACAAAATTTTTACATAAATAATTCAAGTAAAAACGAGGTAATAAAAAAAATTTTTTTTGTTTATTAACATTACATTATCTAATGATGAATAAAAAAAAAAGTCATTTGAATAACCTGAGTCTATATAATAATAGACAATATGGGGTGAGTGCTGGGAAAATGGACCAAATTGATTTTTTTTTTAAAAAAAAGTCCCCAAGTAAAATAGATGTAGATTTGGTCATCTGATTCAGATCATTTGTTATTTCAAAAAAAAAATTTTTTGTCGATTTGG